ATGGCCCCATTAATAATGTAGGAGCTAGTCAGAGGAGCAACCGAGCCCAAGTCTGAGGGTCATCCAAAGGTTTGTCCACTGGGACCATCAGCCCCATGCACCTTAACAGATAGAGCTATTTTGCTTACCGTCACACCATAAGTCCATTATGTAAAGAAAAAAAGAATGAGTATAGATGAAAGGACAGATCAATGATTCTTGAAACAATAAAGGGACTTCAAAAAAATGCACACTATTGGAGGACACATTCCTCCAATAGTGTGCACTTTTCTTAAGTCCCTTCAAAATCATTTTTTGAATGAAAAAATAAATCAGTTAAGACGGTTTGCATCAGGATTTGGAATAACAAAGCCTGTCCACAGCAATTTATCTTCATTTGTCTCAAGATGTTAACAAAACAGAGTGACTCATTGAAGAGGGGGAGGAACAGTGATGGAGAGCGGGTTCAGTGCAGATAAGAATGACAAGGTGTCGGCTGAGACTTCTCATCTTCAACTGTTGCTTAAAATAATATGGAATATTGGAAAAAAAAATCATGTCAAGTGTTGTAGAGAAGCTGCACTCGCTCTTTTCCCTTAAATTTAGTTTCCAACACCGTGAAACCAAACCAACACAGCTCTGCAGGCTTTCTAATCACATTTCTATATGTTACAGTGTTTTGCTGCAATTTGGAGGGCAGTATTAGAAATATCTGGGACAATCTGAGCTGTGTGGACGGGTTGCTTTAAGTTGTTCCCATGTTGCGTTACTCTGCTATGAAAGACAGACCTGACAGCGGAAAGGGATGTGCTCTGTGTTGGAGTGTGACGAAACATTGGATAATCAGATGGTTGTGCTTTTCACCTGTTATTCCTCCATGTTCTAGACATTTGATAATATAATAGTCTCATCTCTCAACCGTATACAATAATGCACAAGGTTTTTGGAGGACTGCATGTCTACCCAACTGCAATGAAGAAAATGCTCGTCAGCAGGAAAAAAAATGCTTGTCTGCGGTTATGAAACTTCTATTTGCTCGTTGTCTGTGGACTCGGGTATTTATCATTTTATATTTCACATATGTTGTCATTCATGATAATGACAAAACCATCATCATTTCTGATGTTGGTATAAATGCTCATTCTACTTGTCCTTGAGAATCCACAGAGTAATTCATCATATAAGGACACCAAATACGCACAAGGAGGTGAAACTTTGCTATGGGCAAACCTTTTATTACACTATTTATGCAGGTATAAATCTGTGTAATTAAACCTCGCCAGTAAAATTTTATAAACCATAGCAACTTCCTAGAACAGCCATCAGGTTAAACATCGGACAGCAATGAAGTGTGTGTGTGTGTGTGTGCGTGTGTGTGTGTGTGTGTGTGTGTGTGTGTGTGTGTGTGTGGTGGAGGAAGAGACAGTGAAAGTAAAAAAATTCACAATTTCAGGAGCTGTTTGGTAATACTCTGAAAAACAACAACAAAAATGCTAAACTGGTCAGCATGCATCAACGAATGGAATTTGTGTCCAAATTAGAAGTGGATTTGTCTTGACAGAGAAAATCATTTTAGTGAGAATGTGGAATGGATGCAACAGCTAAAATTATTTCTATTTTTGTCCCAGCTCCACAGGAAAGAGATCACAACTGCATGAACTGATTGACAACAGAAGTGTAGCTTGCTGTGATTCAAGTTTTACTGTTGACCAGGCAACAGCAGTAAGAAAAACATGGAAAATCTTTTTGCAAGGATGTATAAAAGAGAAAATAAATAGAAAACTAAAATGAATCAACAATGGAATAAAGGTCCAGGGGTATACAAGATACATTTCACTTGTATTTTTTGACCAACTAAATCAGTCTGTGGAAAACGGATGCTGGGCAGAGGGGATTGAACAGAGAAGATAGAAGGGAATTTTTTGTCTGAAGTCTACCAAAGGTTTCAACTGATTTTACAGATAAAACATATAGCGGAACTCTCATCCGAAGAGGATGCCCAGGAGTGACATTCACATATCAGCTTTGACTTTCCACGGCAAATAAATTAGTTGTGCTTGCCTGTGGGATCTCCATGGGTCAGGCTGCATCCACAGAGAGGATTAGGCCTGGTCACAGTGGGTTCATTTGATTGGCTCTCCCAGTGCAAAGTCTATCACCATAAATCGCGCATCTCAAATCCTGTCAAAAAACAGTCGACACATATTTAGCAGAGGTTTTATCTCAGCATGTAAATGAAAACAGATTGAACGTAGTGATTGCCACACTGCCAGAGGGAATCTTTTTGCCTGCAACTTCCTAGAGGCCAAACATATGACAGGAAGAGCATCTTTGTCTGGGAAGGCTCATTTCACAGTTACACTGGAGAGATTATTGTGTAGCCTCTTTCATAATCCTAACAGGATTTCTCCAAAATCAAGGATTTTCTACATTTGATACAAAATGTTGGCAGCCTGCATTCAAAGCTGGCAGTAGATTTTATGCGAATGCTGGGAAAGTAACAGTTTGCAACATGAGTGAATACATTTGTGTATCCAATAGAGACATGACAGTTGTTGAAATAAGACGTACTGTCTTCAGCTTTTCATCCCTGCAAGCTTCTGTGCAGGAGGTGGTTTCTCCCAATCCCTTTCATTATTTCCCACTTGATTAAAGTCCTCAGTTGTTTATCAGAGCCAACGCTTCGGCCCAAACCTCAATCTGGGTCCATACAATAACACTCGCCATTGTAACTAGGGTTCCCAACCTCTGTGTCTGGGTATATGAAAAGTCTCTTAGTAAAATACATTTAGTGTCCCAATATTTTTTTCATTCTAACAAATGGGTTGTCGTTATTAACCCTTAATTCATGAATGAAGGACTGTGTCTATGCTTTGCGAGCCAGACTATTGCATAACAAAAAAAGCATCACGATATGACATCAAAGCAAATTAACATCTTAAGTTAATGATTTATTAGGATCATCCAACTCAGCCAGTGGCTGAGAGATCTTCATGTTCAGGCCTGCAGAGAGCAGATATCTTGTTTGTGAGACCTTACAGCAATCCATACATGCAGGAGCTCCAAATATTCATAAGGATGTACACTTGAAAATGTTAAGCTGTTACTCAAGCTCCGGGTGTAGCTTAGCCATCCTGAGGTTGGAATGTTCCTTGATAAATCCCTAAGTATATCACATGCTGTCTTCTACAAGATACAGAACCTAACCTACCTCCAGTCTGTCCTCTTAAGGCGATGTTTGAATAATGTGCCATCCTTTACAACTCTCAGTTTCCAATTACTTTCATACAAGTCTCAAGTTTCTGAAATTGATTCTTTCTGATGCTAATTATAATTTTTCATGTCGGCATTTAGATTTACCAGACACAGTTAATCAGCGAGATTAACTATTAATGTAGCAGTGAAATGAGGGGGAACTCCTCAAGCGTAGCCTGATCATTTAGTTTGACCTGTGGAAGTGCCAAGCTCATTGTTGGTGAAATGGACTCAACTATTCTACAATTAAAAGATAATAATTCAACTAGATTCAAGAATTGGCCTTTCACATCTAAAGTTAAGTCGCTACTACTGCAAGTGTAAGGAGGCTAAAACGATTATGCCCAAATTATATTATATTAATTAACTCCACAAGCATAAATTAGTATTGTCAGGCTTAATGTAATATCCTCTATATTAGTATGCCTGCTTGCCAGATGGCTTTTTTTCTTCAATGTTCAATGTAAACTCCTTTGGTCTTGTGCTTAAGAAGAATAGTTCAATGTCATCGATGCAGTCATAATGTAAGAATAAGACAATGAATCAAATTAGTCAGAATCTATAAAATCTTTACAAAAAAGGAAAAGTATCTTCCAGAAGAAAATTTTGTCTAGATATAAATTGCATTAAATTGCATTGAAAGAAACAGCTAAGCAAAATAAGCAAATGTAATTTGGCTTTTAGAACAGCTGGAAGTGTTAAACATTAGCCACAGAACCGGTAGTTTATGAAGCCTCTGTTCAGAGGTTCAAAGCTGTTCGCCTCAATTTGACTAATGCTTTCATTCTTCTATCCAAAAATGGTTCCGTCTTTTTTTTGCGCTCTGTTTTCGGTTATTTCTATTTTGGAGGTACTTCTGTTCCACGTTGAGACTCGATTATTTGTGGGGGGGAAATAGTTCAAGTATACCATTTGTTTAAAAAAAGAGAAATAACAACCCCAAGACAATAATTAAATTTCCTGTGATCCAAGATTAATTGTATTAAAGGTCAGTGAACACTGACCGGTTTGTCGGTTTTGCTGCTACTTGAATGGTAAAGTCCTTCCAACCTCATGACAAACCTGTCACAGTTGCATGCCCGGAAGGTTACTGCTTGAAAGGTCAGCCTTCTCGCGGCCTGAGGGCTGGTTAGCCGCAGCAGAGGAGAAACACTGAGGCAGAGCAGGTACGTGGCGTCATGACCTCTCATGCCTGAGGAAATGCTGGCATCTGCCCACCGCCGCTGCCTGGTGATCAAAGAGTGTCTGGTTCGCCCTCACTCACTTGTGGCAGCCACATCACTATTCTTATCCACCCACCAACCTTCTATCTTCCCGAGCTTCAGCCGGTGAACGAGAGCTGTCGTCATGGCAACGAGAAAGCCTGCCGATGTCCTTGCGAATCATTTCTTGCTGAATTCCTTGGTGTTTTCTCTCAGTAAAAGGTTGGCCCCTCTGCTGAATAGCTGTTTATCTTTGCAGCCATGTAGGCTTTTAGTGTCCGCCGACTACCTTCATCGCTGTCCCATCTGTTAAATTCTACCTCACCACTCGTGCTGAGTGTCAAAGCTGATCGCTAAACTGTGCAATGAATTTGAAGCTGTACATTCTATGTTATATCCAAAAAGCCACAGGGCAATAAGCAAAGGAGAAAGGACATTTTACTGTTGCTGATTCAGTTGTACTACAGCAGTTTCTGGAATAACGCAGGCAGGTAGAAATGCACACTTTGTTCGCTTCCATGTGATTTTGAGTTGGACCAACTTCAGAGATACACTACAATATCAATGACCACTGGTCCACTCACAGCAAAGGTGCCATCTCCTTACGAGGCCACGAACCTGGCCTTTTCTGAATCTAAAAACAGAAGCGCTCAGGTGTTCCACACAAACAACAACTGCGCGTCCCACACATCCAGTCATTCCCCTGCCAGCTTCAGCCGAATGGGTGTCCTTCCAGCACCAGATGGTGAAAGGAGTATGACATTAGAAGAACACAGAGAAGAAGAGTGAATGGGAAAAGATGAGGAGTGCCAGAATCCATTAAGAGAACCAAAGGGGAGACTTATCATTCTCAATCATAAACACATAATCCTTTTCAGTGACGAAAGCAGTGAGGGAGGCATCTTTTGTCTCCACTGTGCACCTTTGACATAGACAGATCATCCTTTTTAAGTCACATGAATTCCGAAAACAGACAGTTTATTCAAATCCAATCTTTTTAATTGATTAGTTTCATTGAAATTCAAAGCATGTGTAATGTAATGGATTTTAGAGAAGGGCTGAGCTCAGTGTGAGACCTATCTATGACACATCAACACTCATCCGATACCACAACACAAGGTGGAGATCAGAACTGCAATTGGGATCGTAAACGAGCCATGTTGCCTTATAAGCCACTGTTATCAGTCACAAGTGGCAAGAACTCTATCAGAACCTTTACTGGCAGTTTTTTCTCTGCCAGTGACACTCTGAAAAGTATTTGCTCTCAACAATGTATCAAAGCATAATCATCCTGAGCAGCACTGCCATGCTCTTTGTCTGTTTGGTCCATCTGCAACATTAACATGACAATCAGTGTCTCATCTTTAGTCAGTGATCATCAGTCCTAAATCACAGATATGAGCATAACTATCTAGCTGTCTCTCCCTCACACAATCATTTCCATTTTTCTGCCACAAACACAGAAGCACACTGCCACAATCACACTCACTCTCAGTAATCTTACTTTCACTTCCACCCACACAGGCATCTGTAAAAGTGCATGTGTGGTTCACAGCATTATGGTGGTCCAAACTGACAAATTCAGAGATGTGTTACATCCTCTGTGTGGATTGTGTTATGGGTCCAGGATAAGTGCTTTTCTGTATGCAGTATAAAACGGTAACATTCTAAAAAAATGTCCCATGCATCTCATGCATTTATTTAAAACTTGAAGATCACTGTCTTACAAAGAATATCTGACTGAGAAAACAGGAGATCTAACTCCATTGCTTGAAGGCCTTCTCTCTGCTTTTCTGTCAGGTGAATGATTGCGAAACAGAGACCAGCCTTTGCAGTGCAGCCGTGTCCCATGTTGCTCCCTCTTCTCAGGGGATGGCCAAGGTCCAGGATGGACACACAAATGCATGTGACAGGTATCCCATGCTAAAAGATAGAAGAAAGGGGATATTCCGCTTTAATGAAAGAGTTTGTCTATCTAATTATGGCTTTGGATGCTTACAGCACTGCCATGTTAGAGGAGAGCCAGGATGGTATGGACAGTGGTACCCTAAGTCCTGCCTCAGCTCGACAGGTCACCATCCAGCGCCACCCAACTCAAGGCTTCGGCTTCATCGCGGGAAGTCAGAGGCCCGTAATCGTACGCTCCGTCTCCGCCGGTAAGTATGCGCAAATGTTGGAATGAGCGATGCATAACAGAGTGAGAGCGCTGACACAAATGGAAAGGAGCTTTTGTTAAACGTCTGTGGTTTCTTAACCACAGACGGCCCCTCTTTTGGCAAGCTTCTCCCAGGGGACCAGATCTTGGCCATTAACGAGGAGACGGTGAGCGACGCGCCCCGAGAGAGAGTCATAGACCTTGTAAGGTAACATCCTTTACTGTCCCAGGAGGGAGGGTGGGGGTAGCGGGGGGGGAGGTCCCACAGGTCAGGTGACCAGCAGCAAAGACAAAGTGGAACAAAGAAGGCATGGGTATACAGGGTGGATGAAAAGGAACAAACTGTTTCTTACTGCTGGTCAAGTTTTACATCAACAGAAACCTGTGGATGAGTCAGTCCCTTTGCAGCAAAAGACCAGCAAGAAAATGGCAAATATAAACTGCTCTCAAAGCATCACACCGTCTGCGGCATTATCTAACCCACTCCTTTCTCTGCTGTCTTTCCACAGACGCTGTAAAGACACTATCGTTCTCACTGTGCTGCAGCCCCATCAGGTAGTACAATGGGACACTCACTCTCTTTCATGCTGCTCTCCCTCAGGGTTTCTTATTCCTCATAAGTCTCAGCACTGTTTCCTTTCGCTCAGATCAAACAGAAACGGTGTACAGTATTCTGTTCCAACGGAGCACACTAATGCAGTAGAGACGTTACATTAGTATTCATGGTCTAGCTTCACACATTGGAGTAATTTCTTTTTCTGGTAACCCCTCAGAACAACTCTAAGTGGGCACTCAAACACCCACATGAAATTTTAGTAAACAAGTTTTGTGTGCGAATACTACAGTTAGAGATGACACATTGGAAAGGTACCACATTTTTGCCAGTGTGCTGATACACTCTCAGCTGTCTTGCAGTTGAGCTTCAGGTCTGAAACAGTTTGCGCTTTTGTAGATGACACATTGCAGCAACATCAACCGGCTCACTTTAGAGGAGACGGTCACAGGCATGTATCATGCTCTGACTTCCTATCTAACACCTGCCTTGTCTTTCTCCTCTGATCCACAGTCACCTAAGTCTGCCTTCATAAGTGCAGCCAAAAAGGCACGCCTGAGAACAAACCCGCCCAAAGTGCGCTTTTCAGAACAAGTGTCTATCAGCGACCCAGACTCAGTAAGTTCCACTCATCAAATCTCTTTGTGACACATGCATGAAAATACATTCTGTAACTTTTTTTTCAATATCCAAAAGCCACAACAACCTCTCATACATGAGTGGGACATTGACAGAAAGTCCTGTCAAGCCATTTGACCCTAGATAAATTGCTTTTCTGGCTGATTTGGATTCTCTAAAGAGGAACCTGTACCTCTTTTCAGAGCAATTCACTGTGGTGGACATCATCCACAATATTGTTCATTAATGTTGTGTTGTATGACCTTAAGTTTTACAGGGCACAACTCTCACGTTACCAATAAATCAACCTACATTTATCAGCTATAAAAAGTTAATTCATGTGGGACAGTTCAACATATGACAACTATCAAAAAGCCATTAAGAATCACAAATTTAAGTATTCCATATCATGATTTATTAATGGAAGAAGTAATAAAACAGCACTGCTCATCACATCTACTTGTTTTGAAATAAGACAAATGCTATGGCTTCTGATTAGATTTTCATTAGTGTTAATTTAACACTCTACTCTAACCTGAGGTCACCGGGAGACACTATCTTTAATGCTCAGTCAATTTATTTAGTTCATGAAAAAACAAAGGCTGCTAAGTGACCAGATGCTTCAATTACCATTACCGAGCCATTGCCAATTTTTTGATCTGTCAGTGATCAGAAGATAATGGTTGGCATTGATCATCAATAGATTGATTTTATATTACATAAAGAAAGTGTTACCTGGCTTGATATCAAATAAGATAAAGAAGAGATGAGATTAAGACAATAGGGGTTTTCCCTGTCTACACATATTGGCACAGATTTACTTTTGATCTGTGCTTGGCACAAACTCTGTTTTTGTGTTAAAAATTACTCATGGCATTTACTAACTAGGCAGAGGTGTTGATAAGCTCAGGGAGGAGGGAGATGTGAAGGAAGAGATTCCTCATTCATGTAAATTTGTTTGGAACGCTACACGAGGACATAGAGAGATTGAATGACAAGCCCTGTTATTCCTACTGACCGGGTGAAATCTATGACAACCAGCGGCCTTTAAATCAAAGGATTTTTAAAAGTAGTATCACAGTCATAATAACAAATGCACTACTTAGTTTAAAATTAGCTGTGACGGACTTATTTGGATCATACTGTATCTTCAGTGTGCCCTTATCAGTTACGTTCACCCACAGCTCTATTTTCAATCTGCATTTTCTGAGATGTACAAAAAACAATAAAGAAACATGGAGAAAGCCTAAGAACTGATTTAGTCTTGACCAAGAGTTTAGTGGTTTTCATTTAGAACTTCTTCCGCTGCATCACTATTATATGTCAACACTTTTATCATTATCATATTCCATCAAAGGTGCTGCTTTCCTTCTGATCAATTATTCAACTGTTGAGGATCTGAGTTTACTTTAAAGCCTCAGTAAAGATTTAAAACAAAGACACAGAGAGAGTGGCCATCACACCTTATTCAAGGTTAAAAAACTTTACATGGTGACTGTATCCCTTAAGAGAGTACTCTGAGTTCAGGCAGTAACTTCGCACCAGGCCTCTCTGCTCACACCTTTCCCCACACAATGCTGTAGTGAATGTTCTCATTCTCTCCATCCGCTTTTCCTTTGTGGCATTTCTAATGAATTGGTGGGCCAGAGAAACTCAATAATCCATTCTTTGGTCATGAGACAGTGCCTGGTATGGCTGTCTTGAAACAGCCATGAGACAGCCATAGCCAAGGTGTTCATTTCTTCTTTGTTCAAGTAAGGCATCTCAGCGTCTTGAGTCCTCCTCCACAGCTTTCTATTGATTTTCACTCACTGCCACAAACCAGCCATTACAGCTGATTGTGTCCAGTCTTGATCACCTTCTTAACACATTAGTGTAGACCTTTTTTCCGCTTATCTCTTCTTTGGTCTCTTTCAGACAATGCTCAAGGACGACTCCTTGCTACTCATACCAAATGTGTTGAAGGTGTTCCTGGAGAATGGACAGATAAAGTCTTTCACATTTGATAGTCGTACCACTGTGAGGGTATGTATTTACCGTAGCTGCCGCACAAAGACACCTTCCTTTCTACATCACTGCACCGTTAGTTTACTGCAGCCTTTGAGAATATTTCTGTGCCAGCAATGGCTCAAATGGCCTAAGTTATGATTTCTTGCAGTGATGCATTACATCAGTACAGCTTCGTAGTGTAATTTATGCTCAACTTGACTGTTTTGGTTCACTCTATGTAGCATATCTTCCTCTTTATAGATGATCTAGCTACAGCATGTCACTCTTTATTCCCAGAAGGACAACCCATGCTTTGAATGAGTGTTAGCTGGGTATAAAAGAACATTTTAAAAAGTCACATGTTTGACTGGACCTGTGTTCACCAGGTGACATTAACTCATCTTTTGGTGACAGTGCGTGGATCTGGCTTGTATTTACAGCTCAATGCCAACAGTTTATTTGATCAAATAAATCCACTGATGTAAGCTCACCATACAGTTTAATGCCACAGTTCAGTTTTGTTTCTGTGACATATTCATTTCCACGTATAAATAAAATGTATAGTAGAACTCCTCAGCATGTGCTATGGAGATGAACACTTGGCAAACATAAATACGGTCCAGGTGTTCTTCTTCCCTGCTGTTTATGGATGGTAGAAAAAAAAACTCATTAATGTCATTATGGTCATAAAGCAACAAATGAATTCAGTCTGATGGAGGTCATTTCTGTCTAGATGTCCGCCTCTCAGATGAGTATAAATATTCTAGTAGATTCATTAAATTCACGCTATTGGATTTCACAAATCTCTCTCCTGCTCATAGCGGGTGAGACAGAGAAACACAGAAGCACTCTCAAGGAAAGATGGATGAAACTCTCCCCTGTCAGTTTAATTCAATTACATTTCAGCATAACAGATCAATAATCAAGAATACAATGCCATAGATGAAATCCAAATCACGGGTAGGAAACCCGTGACACACCCATTAGAATTATCTTGTCAACTAAAGAAGCAACCATCGGTGACTCCAACACTTGATTGTGTGTCCTTCCAGGGTGCCTCTTAATGCAAATCGCAGTTGCCAATATTGTTAAAACAGCTTGGCCTTGTTTTTAAAGGAGGTCTACTGCTTAAAATAAACCAGCCAGTATACACTGAATGCTTTATGAAGGTATCACCATGTTATGCGTGTTTGATTTTGAAGCTGTAAATTAGCCAAAACAGTGAAATAATCACTACAACAGCATCCTTTTGCTTGTAAAACACTGTGAGGCCATGAATTTTCTCTTAGATTAATAATACATGAATTTATGAAAAAAGAAAGGAGATTTACATAATCTATAGCTATTGATTCTGAGAAGAGCACATATTTACTTTCCCTCCCTCTACAAATATCATTTTTATTTGGATAGATCCACTCACTAGGTACAAAATTATTTTTTAAAAGCTTCCAATCCCTCAAAGCAACTAGCATAATATCAGAGCAAAGAGACTACATACCCACCACAAAAATATCTGTTTCACAAACTAGACTGTACTGTAGTAAACATGGATGGATTTCAGGTGGAAATAGCTTCTATGAATCAATAACTTTTTGTTGTGGTGTAAATGTATTCTTACAGCACAAATGTGTTCCACTCTCTTATCTGCTTCCATTTGTTTCCTTCCAGGATGTGATTTCGTCCCTGCAGGACCGCCTCTCACTGCGCTACATCGAGCACTTTGCCTTGGTGCTGGAAGCTGGTGGTCTTGACCAGAATCAGAAGTTATATCTGCTGCAGGAAAACCAGCCACTGACACATGTGAGAAAATAAATAAATTAATTTTTAAAAAATTGTTTTATCTACCTGCCTTTAAGGCATCAGCTGTATAAAAGAAATAATAGCAACACTAAATTATGTTAGACACAATGAAACCAGTTTAAAAGTCAAACAGAAAAAAAAGAGAACAGATCATTTTCCAATGTCAGTTTTAATTTCTTCCTTCCTGTACATGTTTGATTGGTTTCACTTGGGATCTGCAATTTAATGAGCATTTCTGAGTTTTGGGGGTAGTCGAAACAAGCAATATCAATATAAAAATTGATTATTTGTGACAATAATACTTTGTAAGGTAAACAAAATGACCAATTATAATGTTTGCCAGGCTCAAACACTACCTTGTGGAAATGGTTGGCAAAAGATGGCTAATGGGACTAAAATTATGGATACACTATAAAGCTCCGTCTTATCTATGACCGGGCTGTTGCTCGTGTTTGGTTGTTTATGGCTTGATTCAGGAAAGTGTCTTCACCTTGACTAAAACAGCTTTCCGAAAAAGAAAAAAAAACTCACTGCATTGCAAAGATGCATCTCACATTCGTGATGAATCCTCCATCTTTTCCTATAGTAAATTATCTTGCGATATAGTATGTCACTAAGGTTGTAGTTGTTATGTAACTGATGGAGTCATTTTTCCTCAGGTGGTACACAGAACCTACTTCCAGGGGATGAAGTGTTTGTTCCGCATCTGCTTCTTTCCCAAAGATCCTGCGGACCTATTAAGAAGAGACCCTGCTGCATTTGAGTATCTCTACATACAGGTAGCGCTCTGGATTAGAGAGGGATTTATACAGATGTCCCTCTCATGATACCTTGCAGCTGTCTCCTTTTGAAGTGCAGCAGGTGCCAGTGGGAGCTAAGTCTTCCACATTAAAATAGACAACGGCATTTATTCTTTAGGATTCAAATTAACTGTGTTCACTTTTGCTTCATTTTATTTCAGAGTTAGTAATGATCCCATATCAAATCAAATGCCCTTTATACCCTTCTTTTTAAAGAAAAGAAAAAGAAAACATTTCTCAGTAAAACCGGGCTTTACACACATAAAAGGATTTACTGAATGTGTTTAGCCGATGTACACATATATAAAACCATATTTCAACACCTTACATTTGTAATGAAAAATAATTAGATTCAGAATCAGACACACTGGGTGTGCTGTAAGGTCTTAAAGACTGATTGTTCGTAGCCAATTTTAACAAGTATGATGTTATGTTTGTAGTTAGATGGGTGCAAAACAAAATATCTTTGTCTTCTCAGAGTCGTAATGACGTCATCAAGGAGCGCTTTGGAATGGACTGGAAGTCAGACATCACGTTGCGATTGGCTGCGCTCCATATCTACATCACTGTGTCCTCAGCAAGGCCCAACCAGAAGATCTCTCTCAAGCATGTCGAGTAAGCTACAAATCGCAGTTTCAAAAGTTCTTTGAGAAATTGTGGAATGGAAATTATTCAAAGCATATTCTTTATTTCTCTTCCTCATCAATAATGTTTTCTAGGATATCACTCAGTAATGTCTTAATGTTGCTAAACTTATTCCAGAAATATCAATAACTCAAATTACTTCAAGGCCATTTTGCTTTAGTCATTCTGAGAAAAAAAACACTGCTTTGGGAAATTACATATCCCCTTCACTTTTTCCATCTATTCTTCCAAATCTCACCCTTACAGTCAATTACCCTCTACCAGAAACAGAAGATTAATTGTGTTTGTAATAGATTTCAGGTGGGAATGATTAGAATAAGGTTGTTGCAAAGCTCACCTTTGTCTTGTGACTGGATGAGAAGACTTTTTTCCAAATGTATCGGCATCTGTCACATATACTGTTTTTATTTATTTTCTATTGTGGAATTCAGCTTTCTCTCTCTTTGTTCTTGGACATAGAAAAGAGTGGGGATTGGAGCCTTTTCTTCCACTCACTCTTCTTCCAACAGTGAAGGAGAAGAATGTGTGCAAAACCCTATCTCAGCTGCTGAAGACATATCAACATCCACCACCATCAGGAAACAAGGTTACTACATTCAAAAACATTTAAGCATTGATTGAAACTGTTTAATAATTATGATATTGAAAAACTATCGCTAAATTGTCACACTGATTGCAATTTGCATACTAATGTCTGCACTTGGCAGTTTTTTTCCCAGTATATTTTATTTAATTCTTGTATATACTTGTGCCAGGTTGACAACTAGTCCTTTGAGCAAGTCCTTCAACTACACAAATCTAACTGTTGCATAAGACTTTGTTAGCAAAAACTGTGGCTCAGCAGTGCCCCCAGGAGTGCATCAGCTATGCAGAAGAAGGCTTTCTCTTTCAAAGATGATTATTTTCCTCATATTATTACTCTCACAGGTCCCTCCGCTCCAAGGAAAGCTGCAGTACATGCGAGTACTTAATGACCTTCCACCTTTTGGTGGAATACTGTTCCACACAGTTGGACTGGTAATAGTTTTAATCTTTGGATTAAATAATTTACTGTATCTGCATGTCTTTAATATCATTCCGTGCAATTTTCTACATGTGTACTGATTGCACAAGGAGTCTATTGTTTAAGGACACATATCTGATTTTTTTAAAAATGTTTAAAATGTAATATGTTGATTGTAAGACAGTAGTCCTAAGACCTCCTGTGTTGTAATACAGGATGAGAAACAATCTGCAACAACGCTATTGGTGGGCCCACGACATGGTATCAGCCACGTGATTGACCTGAAAAACAACCTCACAACAGTTCTGGCCGAGTTCAGTAGGGTTTCCAAGATCCAGCTCTATCGGGAGAGCCAAGGAGTGGCCCGTGTGGAGGTGACAATTCATGAAGCCAAGGTATTACATCTTAAAACAAAACATATAAAAACAATGACAAAGCATATCTTAAATGCAAATTGATTTAATATTTAATTTTGTTTGCATAAATGCTCCATAGTTTTTTCAATTTTATTTGATCAACTTTTAACAAAATGGGCAGGCAATGCTAATTGCCTGTCCTCTAAATAGTCTCCTAAATCCCATCCCTCCCACCTACTACAGCCCCTGGTCCTCCTCATGGAATGGCCTGATGCAAGTAACTTTGCATGCCTCATCTCTGGCTACTACAAGCTATTTGTAGACCCTAAACGCACAATCTACTTTCGGAACCCTGGTCAGTCTCATCTGACCAAGGCAGGTAAGTGTTTGATTACGATTCTTTCTTTTCACTCGACAAATTACATGAATTATATTAATATCCATATCTGAAAAATGTACTGATCAACTGCATAAATGTAAACTAAAAACAGATAGATAGAATTCTACAAGTGAAATGTCTTGACTTCAGCATTACATCAGACACTGCATGTCTGAAATCTATGGCAATCTTCATTATATGTTCAGTACATGGACGTTGATGACCACTGCTTCCTCATCAACTGAAATCATTCTTGTTACGAGGCTGTCCTGCAAGTATCATCCCATGGCGCCCTCTGCTGTCTCATCTTCATCTTGACTCATTGGAATAGAAAGCCATTTTTGTTTTCCCAAGACATGGAATTGTAAAGTGAAGTGTTTTCTTTAATTAGAAACTACACCTCTTAGACATGAACAGATCCTCTGCCATCTGTTGCATCAATCTGTAGTCTACATGAAAGCGGAACTTTCATCACATCATCGCATTTCACCCGTATCTAACCCTCTAATCTAAGACAAACTTCAGCTTTCAACATCCATTTTTTAAATAAGTAATCCCCATCAGACCACCAGCTGTTGCCTCTGCTTATCCATCTGGATCTTCTATATCCCCACTAGTTCTTAACACCTCAAACTCTCCACTGCTCTGACAATTTTATCCTTAGATTACAGAAGCTCCCACCATCCCCATCCACGCTCTGGGGCAACTGGATTGCAAAGTGGAGGACGGCGAGGGGACGAGAGGGAAATCTCACACAGGGAGTCAGGATGCTCAAGAGCCCTAGTTTCTGCAGAGCCTCAGCATTTAGGCTTGTGTCATGTTCATCTTCGAGAACAACAATTTCAAGAGTTGCAAACACATGCTCAGGCTGAACTCGACATCAATGAGAACTTTATTTCCCCAGAGGCCCCTGGCCGTCCCCGCACCAAGTCAGATCCCACACAGGAGAGTACAGAAGATATAGCTGCTGTTTCAGAGAGCCCAGCGGTGGAAAAAGTGGGATTTCGAGTCAGAGCTCAAACAATGGGTCAATCCCAGAAAACGCGTTACTTTTGTGACTCCTGCAAAGCTAGGCTTAGGGCAGAGGGTTTGTCCACAGCAGTTACCGGCAGTGGGAGCTCAGGGAAGCATTGCTCCAGTGCATGTGCCTCCCGAGATGGAGGTGCAGTTGACCTTATGGCCCTACCACCTCCAGGAAATGAAGAAGAGGACGATGAAGGGGTAGATGATGAAGAAGAGAAGCTCCAACCACCACCCCCAGCTATTGCAGCCCCACCTCCTGGCTTTAGGGACAATAGTTCTGATGAGGATGATCCAAAGAGAGGCAGGAAGGCAAGAAGCAGTGCCAGTACTGGTGTGGCCTCTGGGAAGCCAGCTCAGGCCAAGGGAGACGTGCCTGTGACACTGATTGATAATGTGGCCACCAGAACAGTCAGAGATCACGCGCAGGAACTTGATGACGCTCTGGTCTCCACCTTACAAGCACTTGAGGCTTTGGCAGCCTCTGAGGACTACCCACATCATCCTCAACAACCAACACAGACAGCAGGTCAACAGCGTTAGTTAGGCCACTGTTCACATCTTTCTCTGAAAATCTATAAAAGAAAATAGAAGTTTATTTATAATCGGTCGAATGATGTACTGACAGTTAATAGTAAACACATATACCCACATGCACATATCACACATGTAAATGACTGATTTCAATTGCAAGTTAGGCTTTACATTGTAAGATATTTTGTGATTCCAAAACGTCATAAATACCTGTCAAAACAAACAGATTTGCACATAAAAGCTGCCATTTCCTAAGTGTTTCCTAGTGTTTGAATCAGACTAGACATGGGCTACAGTATTTGAACCTGACACCAAATCTAATCTCCTATTATTTTTACTAATATCAGCCAAAACCAATACATTTTGTGTTAACATTTGTATTTTATTGATTGTACTAACAGTGAACTATGTCACTCTCTATTTCAGGCCTGATTGTCTTAGCTGCCATCACACCTGAGTCATCACTGGATTCAGGTCATGAGACAAATTCCTCTGAACTGACAGATGTCTCCGAGATGGTGTCAGCAATGAAGCAAAACCAAAACCAAGCCTACCTGCTGGCTCATCATATCAACAAGGAGCGTATTCTCTGCCGCCGTGACTTTCCTCTGGCTATCCCTGGCTGCACAGCAAAGACCATAGGGACTGGGGCCTTTTCTGTGGGGCAGATACGTGCCGGCTGTCCACCCAAGCAAGTAATCTTAAGCAAGACTGTTCCCTTTAAAGTCAGCCCCAGCCAAGATTCAACGATACTGAGTGTTTTGACAGAGCAAGGGAGCAATCAAGACATTACACACACTGACGAAAAAACTGAATTAAAAGCAATCTCTGAGTCTGCAAAAGGAAACCCCTCTGATCCTCCTACTAAACCACCTGAAGATATCAAAGTGTCTGAAGCTTCACTGACGGCTCAAGTAAGTACAGATCATAAATTTTCAAATTCTTCGGGGGACATGATAGCTCAAAATCTCCCAGATGGTATAAAGGAGAAGACGGCAACGACTCTTAATACAGACCATATAAACAAAGCCTTACCTATCATCTTGCCTGTGGATAGAACTGTTTCTGCCAAGATTTCTTCCACTAATATGTGCCAAGATGCCAAGACTGCCTCAAGTGAGACCATGAAGCCTTCAAGCTCTTCAGAACTTCTACCAGTTGATGATCTTTTCTGCACGTGTCCTGTGCAGCAAGATCCTGCAACACAATTAAGGCTAAAAGATCCACAGGTTGAGAAGATAGTGGTGTTTCAGTCGTCCTCGCCAACAGATGACGAGCGTCTTCGAGCCAAAGGCCTGCAGTTAGCTAACAGCAAAGAGGGCAAAGAACATGCAGCAAGAGTAGGAGCAGATCCTGGTTTGGCCAAACCAAACCCACAAATACAAACTAAGTTCTCTCCTCATTTGCCTGTAAAAGTGGAAAAAAAGGAAACAGCTGAGAGCAAAACTGAAAGTGCCCATGGAAAATCCCACCTTGAGTCACAGAAATGTCACATGAAATCCTTACCAATTTTAGATGATTTGACAACTGCAAGCCCCGTTGTAGATAAAGTTTCCACTCTCCCAGCAAGAGATGCAAAGAAGCACAGCACTGGTAAAAGCAAGTCCCAGCGAAGCGCTCCCTTCTTGAGCTTTAAAAGCCTACTTTCAGCCACCTTTCCAGCAAGAATGCGAAAAGAAACAGATGAAAGAAGGGCTCAGTTGCAGAAAGTTCGCCAGTACGAGCTGGAGTTCTTGGAGGAACTGTTGAAACCCAAGTCATCACAGGGAGAATTCTTGCCACAAGGATCCTCGCCTGTGCCCTCAGGCACTCCCTGTGCCTGTCAACTCCGCACTAGTCCTGTCCTTAAGGCTCCAGGGATCTCCAGGGAGCAACGACGCAGCTGTGACTGTAAGCGAATGTGTAGGGGAATGCGACTGCCAGACACCCCAGTTGGCACCACAAAAGAAATGCAAAACAGAGGCAGAGAGAGAACCATCTCAAACACCCCTCCAGCAGTCTCCAAAGTCCCACATCCTCAAAGTGCCACAAGGAGACCTCAGACATTGGAGATCAAGACAACAAGAATACGATCAACAAGCCTTGAGTCAAGAGAGCCAAGGGGAGAACAGGCCTCTTGCTTACCCACCTGTACTTCCCAAACTGATTGCATGGGAGCGCCTCAATATAAAAAGCTCCAGAGACGATACAGCTTTGGAGAACTGGATAACAACACTAGCACACCTGTGTATGCTGAGGTGAAACCGAAAACCAAAAGTCTCGAGAAGGAGATGGAAAGAGTCCGGGCCACAGGACTTAGACTCCCTACCCCAGTAGAACCAGTCCACACTCAGTCTCACCAAGCAGAAGGAAAAGGGAAGAAGGGTGTATTTTTCATCCAGGGAGAAGAATTACTGCGTGAAAGCAAAGAAGGCACCGGGGAAGTCCTACTGAACCTGCCAAGTGAAGACAGTGATGACAAAGACAAATGCTGCTCATTCTGTTTCTGTTACCGAAAGTGTGAAGCTGCAGATGAGAGCAGTGAGAAAGATGAACTGTCATACTCCATACCCCTTCAGGTTCTACCAGGCATGGAAGTGGACTCACGTACTTTTCCTGTTGTAAGCAAAACACTCCAGGTTCTTAATGCAGAAGACTGCAGTGGGGAAGAAGAGGAAGAAGTGGAAGAGGAAGAAGAACCACAGACACAGGACATAGACTTGAGATCCTGTGGTACACTGGAGGGGAGCCTTGCACGGGTACACGCTCTTCAGGGGAAAACTTTTAGCTTGCCAGATGGCTTCCTAAATGCCCAGCTGAATGCTAATGAACTGCTTGCTATCCTGCGACAATGCGCTAGCAGCCCACAAGGTGAGGGTGAGACTCGTCTTCAGCCCTCACGGATTACAGAGTACAAACAGGAGCTGGCACTGCGCTTCAAAGAGTTCAGAGCATCGTGTCGAAGAGTGGCAAGTGTTGAAAAAAGCCCAACACGTATGCTTGCTGTTGTCTCATCCAGCTTTCAGGTGTTATGTGAACTAACTCAGACCTTTATCAAATTGGTCCGAGGTGTTCGTTCAGAGACCCAAAGGCTGCAGCTATTAAGAAAAGTGGAGGAAGTAGCGATCAACTACACCTTACTTCTGCGTGCAGCAGAGGAGTCCATGGGACACTCAAGCAGTTTGCCAACAAAGACAATTAGTCCTCAAATTTCCTCCAACGTCAATAACATGAGCTCGCTCACACGACCCATGAAAACTCTGCCTGCCTAGTGAGAAAAGTCTGGCAGGAATGTAATCAGAGCAATCCAACATGTGGGTGCAACTCTGTCCAAATTCATTATTTATTTATTGTTTACAATTTTTACAAAATGTGCAATGAATCATCCTCAGTAAAATTGCAATGCAAATGTTCCATCCCATGTTTACAAGTCCTGAGGTAGCCTTGTTTTGAAATATAGATATGCCAAACTGATGCACAATGGAATAAGAACCCTATATAACAGACTGGGTAACACAGGGCTAAATCACCTCATATCAGTACACATAATATAAATAAATCATTATAATATAATATTTTATATGTACTATATATTTGAGTTGTGTCTATTTAGCAAATAATATGAAGTTTTGTGAAAAAACGGTAAAGAGTATATTTGAAATGTATTAAGTTGAGAGACCCATGAAAATCATAACACGTCAAAAATAAATGTATGTTTTGGCCGAATAATTTAAGAGATCTTGTTAAGTAGCCACTTCTGTGAACTGCATAGTCCAAAGGGTCAGTGGGTTAGATGGTGATGTGTTTGTTTGTGGAATTTGCTAACTGTTGTAATGCAAAATTGATCTCTTTTGGCAGTGTTGGCACTGTCTAACATACAGATATGAGTCAAAATATAGGTGAGAAAGTTGGAAAATGAAAATCACTAAAATACACGTATGGCATGCTTAACAATAACTGACTGACAGCCCCATTCTCTCATTTCATGAGTGCAGGTATGAAAACCACCTGCTCAGGGCAGACAATGTAGCAGAGCATCGAGTCACGGTCGTATTCACTGTACAGTAATGAGGGTTACTCAACTGTAAAGAAGACATGCCCACTATGTAATCAATAACACGGTGCGTTTTACACCACCACAAATCCATGGCTCACTTCCATCTCACCGGTTGTGAATCATACTTTTAAATATACAGTAGACAACTACTAGCAAACGAGTGAGCTTGTAACTAGGATTTTGCACAACCTCTGACGTCAGTTCTGAAGCTTAAATGTACCTTTTCTTCTGTGTTTCGATTCATCTGCCTGCTGAAAACATCACCAGTCTTTCATAATTCATCTTCTACAAGCTAACGTTGACACATCTAAAAAATATTCTTATGTTTTTATTCAGGTTTTCCAATACAACATCAAAAACTGCTTTCTTTGTGCTGTTACACAATGTGCAATCTAGCAAATATTTAAGAAACCCACAAAGTAGTTTTCTATGTATTTTAATAAAACTAACACATCATTTCCTGTCTGAAATTCTTTGTGTCTCACCCCTTAGTACTCCAGAAAAAAATCTGAATTAACTTTTGCTGGCCAATTATGTATACTGGATATACTGTCAAAAAAAAGTGCTACAAAACCAAAATAACTGTGATGACTGTTCTGCAACAATGCAAACGGAAAATAAATCTTCTGTTTCTAGAAATAAAAAAGAGAGTTTTCTGTCCTTTGACAAGTTTCGCTATAACTAAATAAATCAAAATATTTTTAAAGCACTGTTTCACATGTAAACATTATCCCATACTAAAGTTCTATAGTCACCTGATAGTGTAAATTATAGATAGGGCACTAAATCATTCTGTGTTAAAAAAAATTACAAATGTGACAAAAAAGCACCATCCTTCAAATTTTCCGAATCACAGGTGAAAGGCTAAATCTAACAAAATGACACTACTTAAAAGTTTGACCTTTGGCTTTGTGAAACGTTTGTGTTGGTTTCAGAGCACACTTGCAGTGTTTACAGGCACTCTCTTTTAACAGTGTCTCCTCTGCCACTGATGTGGCCTCTATATAGCCATTACGTTGTATTTCCCCCCTCGCTGTGCTGCATGATTTCCCTTGAGAGTTTCAGGGGCAACTACACTGGTATTGAAGGAGATGATACTGTACAGACATGAAAGTTAAACGGGTAAAAAATAATAGGGTATGGTGAAAACATACTTTATATATATATACAGATATATATATATCTATATAGATATATAAATGTTTTGCAAATGATATGGAAATGTATAATTTTACACTGCATATGTAAAAACCATAAAAAATGTGAGGGAATAAGAGAAACTTTTAAACTTGTAACATTGAGGTGAATTCAGATCCTTCACTTTTTTGTAAATAGGATTAAAAAAATGGATGTGAAGTAATTATTTATAGTAGTAATGTAACATAGAAACTAATAGCAAAACATATATTTTGAAGAGTATATTATGAGTATAAAGCATGGGACATGTTTATTTTTATAAACAAAACTATCAGACAATAATCAATCATCAGCACTTAAACTCTCAGTAAACATTTCATGTGGTTGTCATTGGTGCTGTTGCTTTGGGAAACTTTAGATTAGTCTGTGTTTCATTCACACGATGAGCCTATCATGACTTGATTCATTGTTTGTTTTTGTGCACTTTTTAATTTCTGTCTTTATTTATTGTCAATAATTCTGTCGTCACTGTGGTCTTCTGTCTGTGTGCAAATTTATCTCATGTTTTAAGAGCAATAAAGTATATTGAATAAACTCTTCCAGAGAATTTGGGAATGGACTTGTCCTAATGCTACAGTGACTGTGGGAACAAGTTTAAACAAGGGACATCATGTGAAAGACTACTAGGAAAGATGCTTCTCTTATTTGGAAAAAAATTGGAGTTGGCTTGATAGATTGATCTTAAATACCATGACCCAAACCAACCACTTGGAGCAATGTTGACACATTTTGTCATATAAAGTTTGTTTTACGGCCAATCGACCAAACGGCCACATATTGGGTTACCATTATGGTGATTGCGGAGGCAGGATATCAACAACCCACTGCGTACAGAGAGAAACACAATGTTCTAAAAGGTCATTTTTACTGTGAGACTGTTCAGCTCATTCTTGTTCCAGGGCTGGCTTATGATCACCAAAGTCCCAATGAAAAATCCAGCTATTTTAAAATGCAGAGATTGGCTGGTTGAACTGGTCCATAAAGGTAACTTGCTATTACTAGTAGACTGTGGTTTCCAAAACAGTCCCACTATTACCTTACTATTGCTTTATTTAAATGACAGATAAAAAAATAGAAGTCACTCAAGGTTAATCCATCAGTGTGCAAGAAGTGGAGTGAGATAACCAGTGGTGAGACAAGCAGTGACACGTGTGTCATGTTACCTCATTTTCTTTCGAAACAGCCCACGTCTTTTATTGAAATTGCCAGTAAAATGTTTTATTGCTCTCCAAATAGCAATAAAAAAACACAGTATTGCTCTGATGACGATACATTTCCTCACCCGCATAAAAAATTGGATTTGGAAAGCTTTAAACCCAACAGACATATTTCATAATTACAATTCATCAAATTCAAAATGTAAAAGTAAGTAGAGGCAGCATAAAAAAGAATTTGCCCCACATGAATGCTCAGCCACAGATCCAAAACATCAACCCTGCTGAGACTACTCAGTTTGTTGACCCTCCCTTCATCAAAGGGTTATAAGGCGACTCCTGACAGACATAAATGCTGTTGGCTTCGCATAAACGTTTGAAACAATGGGTGCTATGATTAAGTCTAAATTTGATGCAAAAAATATAAACAAAAAAAGTTTTCTTTATTGTATTTTTTTTTGCCTGAAATTTTGCTCAGACTTTGCTTGATCATCTTTCACTGACTTCATTTCATGCTTGATCTCCTCTAGAACATCTAGGGTACTTAAGCAAGGGCCGTCAGTTTTTAACAAAATTGAGAAATTAAGTTAAGCCCATATGGCAACACGACAGGGATGTGTGGTTTACTAACAGGCCTTTACTTTTGTTTGTGTCGTTGACGCGAGCGAGGCAACAACATGAACAAAAAAAAAGGAAGACGATTATTGCAAACAAGCATGATTGTTTATTTAATAACCTCACCATACAAGCCATGTTATAATTGCGCTTCCTAAATCGAAAGGGCTTTTCATGTTGTGTGCGGCAACCACACTCTGCGGTTGGTGCTCTTACCTCTGTCACGAGCCCTGAATGACGCCATCACGCCGCGACGTGCGCGCCGCCCTGTGAGGATGAGCTGCACGCGCCATGGATTGACATAATGGAGGATAGATAGGAGAGGCACCGAAGCTCAGGAAAAGTGGCTCAACAACTGTTGATCTAATTCCAGTTGTAGTCGCGGACCCCGGTTCGTTTGACTTAATATTTCGTGGCTGGCGCAGCTCGCTCGGACGGGACGACGCCCTGGACCTTTACAAAATGCCGAATATCAAGATATTTAGCGGTAGCTCACATCCGGATCTTTCTCAGAAAATAGCTGACCGCCTCGGTCTCGAATTAGGGAAGGTAGTTACTAAGAAATTTTCCAATCAAGAAACGTGGTGAGTTTTTGTTTTTGTGTTGTTTTTATTAAAACGTTAGCGCGAGGATGATAAGTGAAATGGAAGCTCGCGACATGTATGCTAATAATGAGAAACGTGGTGTCACGGTCAGATTTCCGCGCAGGGTTTTTGGGTACTTGTAGTTCCATGCGTGGTTTAGAAGTAAAATGTCTGCTAATTCCTTGCAACAAATCCATATTTATAGTCGTAAACTTACATCGCAGTGTTACATCCGCATGCTGTATGGAGACTGTAACTTTCTGAATCCACCCATCATTACCTCTAGCCCCCGGTGAGCTCCAGATAAAGTCAGATCACATGTGGACACAGGCTACTGTTTACACTTGTCTCATCTGTCTTGAGCTCGATTTGGTGTGTTAGCTCAGTGCCTCAAAGTGCTGTTTGTTTTGTCACCTTTCCTCTCTCGTAGCGTTGAGATAGGGGAGAGTGTTCGGGGTGAGGACGTCTACATCGTGCAGAGTGGCTGCGGGGAGATCAATGATAATCTTATGGAACTCCTGATTATGATTAATGCCTGTAAAATTGCCTCGGCCTCCAGAGTCACAGCTGTCATCCCCTGCTTCCCCTACGCCCGCCAGGATAAGAAGGACAAGGTGGGGGTGAGGGACATCTGTCTATTTACTTCTGTCATGCCATTTGCCATTAAGCATCATGACAAGAAGCCTGCAGCCATTCCCATCTGTACCCAGTCAACAAGACATTTCCCCCTCTTTTGACCCATGTGTATGCTTTGCTAAACGAGCCTTTGGATTTATTTATGTCTTTGGTTGATATGTTCTCCCATGTCAGCTTACTGCATGAGTTGAATGCATGCATAACTGGGCACAAACTCTATGTAGTTTTATGGTACAAAACAAGTTGGTATCTTGGATTTTTGCTATATTAGTATGGTTTTGTGTTTTTCTTATACCAAAGCTATTATGTCGTCATTACTGAATATGTTCTTGGAGAGTTAACACACAAATAAAAACATAGGTTTACATTAAATTATGTTTGTAATAGGGTTGGGCGGTAATTAGGTATACTGGCGGTATCTTTCAAAAGCAACAGTATCAATACAGTCATTACCGTCATTAAAAAAATGCAATGCGCTTATTTAGGAGATAAGGCTGCCTAAAAAATATTCTTATCTTCAGCAGCACTGATGCGGTTGAATTTTCAGTTTAACTTTTACAGCAGTGAGACTTTTGATAAAGTTTCTGAACGTTGCGTCATCACGTGACAACATGGAGGAGAGCGAAAGAGAAAGACGGCTAGTCTTGTGACTTTGTCACTTTTGCAGTCTGTCCATATTCTTTATTAGTGTTAGGTATTCTGTTCCAGAATGGTGTAGGCACAGGACAGTCTGGTGACGCTGTCTGGGCCTTAAGTTTTCCTTTTTAGTTGGTCACGGTAACACTATGTAACGGGGTAAAATGTGGAGACGAAATGACGGTGTCAAAATTTGGTTACCGCTCAACCCTAGTTTGTAACATTTGCTTGGTAGGATTCAACTTGACAGCTAAACTCTCTGGCATTATTTTTAGAAGTGAGCCATGCTTGCCAGTTTGCTTATTCCATGTGACTGAGCAGATCTATTTTCATTATAGAGCCGTGCGCCCATCTCTGCCAAGTTGGTGGCCAACATGTTGTCAGTATCAGGCGCTGACCACATTATCACAATGGACCTTCATGCCTCCCAAATCCAGGTGAGTATCACTAAAGCAGACGTGAACCGAGGTTCGTTTCACCCGTCTACCTCTGAGGTACTCTTTTCAGTTGAATGCATTTTCCTCCCTTTCAATGGCCATCTGCTGCAGAGCAGCCAAAACGGACCTCCCTGCCATCTGCTCACCACTTCTACCAAATTCAGCTGATTTGGCCCGTAATGTAATGGTCAGCATCTGTCCCTCTTGGCAAAACAACTCAATTTTGTTGCAATGTGAAGCTCTTCCTCTGCCCTGCCTCAGCTCTGAGCAGGGTGGTTATCAGAGAACTGAATGTGACTGTTGCAAAAGACGTCCATTTACAACGGGCAGATGTCACATAATGGAGTTTTCGCTTTGGTTTGAATCACTGCTGTGTGTACGCCATTCTAAAAGTTGAAACTATGTGTGTTGTTTGGGACCCTTTTTGTGTTACTGCATAGTCTGCTTGGTTACAAATGTGCCTTTTTTTCCTTTTAACCGGGTGAGATGTGAGGCGTGTCCAGCCCTTCTGACCTCAGTGCGCACATTTTTATCTCTGTCCAGGGTTTCTTTGATATCCCCGTTGACAACTTGTATGCAGAGCCAGCTGTGCTGAAATGGATTAAAGAGAACATCCCTGAATGGAAAAACTGTATCATAGTCTCACCTGATGCAGGAGGAGCCAAACGGTATGCCTCTGCCACCTGTCCTTGGTGCCCCAGTCTCCCGTGGCCTCACAAGCAGTTCGCTGCTTTGGCTAATGCAAATGGGCTTTCCAGACGAGCTCTAACCGGTGCACTGACCTTTTTGCAGGGTCACCTCAATAGCGGACAGGCTAAATGTGGACTTTGCTCTCATTCACAAAGAGAGGAAAAAGGCAAATGAAGTGGACCGCATGGTTCTGGTTGGAGATGTGACGGATCGGGTGGCCATTCTGGTGGACGACATGGCTGACACGTGTGGGACGATCTGCCACGCTGCCGACAAGTAAGCCACGTTATTCTTCAAGGCAGCGTTGGAATGGTTAAAACATAAAGCCATCGTATCTACCAATATACTGAAAAATTTAAAGACAAAGTGAAAGATTTGTGACGCAGTGAGTCTGCGAGATGGCAAATGTGTGTGTGTATGCATTTCTACATGTACCAGAGAGTCTCATAATGCACTGTTTCTCTCCAGACTCATTTCCGCTGGTGCCACCAAGGTGTATGCCATCCTAACGCATGGCATTTTTTCTGGACCGGCAATTTCCCGCATCAACAATGCCTGTTTTGAAGCTGTGGTGGTCACTAACACCATCCCTCAGGAGGAGAAGATGAAGCACTGTTCCAAAATACAGGTCAAAGGAGGGTTTTCAGGGCAAAAATACTTTCAAAGCTGTTTTGGCATCTTAAGGCAATGTTCTCTTTTCAGGTTTAGTTTTTCTCTGCAGAAAGAGTAACAGCTTATCCCTGTTTTTTTTTTCTCCAGGTCATAGACATTTCCATGATCCTCGCAGAGGCCATTCGCAGAACTCACAATGGCGAGTCCGTGTCTTATTTGTTCAGCCACGTCCCCCTGTAGCGACACCATCATCTGCGCGCTCTAACACCAAATAAGAAAAGAGGGAACTCCCCAAACAATACCATTAACCAAGGTGTCCTGCTAATTAACTGTGGAGGAAAACAGAGAATGACTGAACTGTTGTGTCTGTTACTAATGCTGACCCCATCTCACTCCAGTAGCCCCCCCCACCCCCACCCCCTTCAGCAGTGTCCCCTTACGTCTCGGGCGCCAAAGCAATCGCAAGCTGCCCGTTTGGGCTGGCGTATTTATTGTATATGGTTAAATAAGCGTTTATCCGATGTGGACTTTGTCTTTCTTTCTTAACATTTGACTTCCAGAGTTTCTCCTGATCATTGTAACGCATCTCTTCAGTTTGTTAAAGAGCTCCTATGAATATAATATACAGGTGTCAGTGCTCAGGAGAAGCATCGTGCATATAAAGCTGTTACAGTGCTCTTTGTTATAATGACCGAGTCTAGTTTTTCATGTTGTTCTTGTATTTTCTGCTGTTTGAGCAATCCTAATTATTGAATGTGTATCGAACTAGTTTACAGTGCCACTGAAGCTCCACTCAACCAAGAGTGCCTCAAAAGTCTGAGAAGAAATTGCATAATCCTCCAGTTGTATCTCGTTCTATAACATTTTGTTCTTTGCTTCCTAACTGGAGGAACGTTCACATGTTTTCCCCAGCTATCGTTCTCCTTTTTGTTCTTTCAACTCTTGAGGTGCCCTCGTTGAGTGGGGTTTACCCAGTGTTCAAAATGTACCCTTCGAGAGTGGCGGTGGAGTCGGTTGA